TTGCTATGGAAGGAATCAAGCCGACCAAGTAACGGGTTTTGGAACCCATAAGATGCGAGTTTACCTATGAAAAGTTGGTGATTGACCATGTCGAGGGCTTAGGAAATGTCCAGGAATAGTACCAATACAAGATATCCTTGGCTACGGAAGGAATAAACTAAATTCAAGAAGTCAAAGTGACATGTAAAAGAAGAAGGATTTTTATGAAGTCCGTGTTGCGTATAATAATAATATATTTCTGCATTAGCAGGTACACGCCATTTTTACAGGCATGATCTACAATTTACAACATATACTAGTTCACAGTATGCATCCCAAGCAAGCTTGTTTAGTAATTATAATCTATAAAAGTTGATTCGTTCATTCGTTCAGATATAATGTGTTTTCATAAGAATAGTTTCCAAAGGGGCATAGCATCCACGTTATATACCAGATCCAATCTCGACAAAAAGTGTAATAGGGTTTCGGTAGTTCTAAGTATTTATGTAATGCAGCTTTTTAAGTTTATAGTTGTTATAAAGTAGGCTTGTGGAGCGCCTGGTTTGAGCTATGACCTTGGGAAAGCGCGTTTGTCAAGCTTTTTCCAGATGTCAGAAGTTACATAGCTTCACCCTCAAAGCAAGATTCTGAAGAGAAAAAATAAAAGAGAAACCGAGGAGCAGCAAGGCATTTGGATATGAGCGATAATCAATGCTTAACATTTATTAGTGGAACAGTTGGAGGTATGATAAATTATTAGATTAAATTGATGCTAGCTCATGTTGCAAGAGTAAACTGCGATTAGGGTCTCCAGAAGAGAGAAGGCAGTAATAAAGAACAATGAGTTGTTATATTTATCAAGGTGGAGTAGGTTCCAATGAAGGAGGGAAGTCATTGGAATGAGGAAGAACAGAGAGTGCATATAGAGAGTAATGTTAAGTAAAATAGAAACCATATCCTTTACAGTCAGTTTTTTTTTCTCTTCTCATCCGATGCCTGCCACACAGTGTTCATGTAAAAGTCCGAGTTAGCATGTTAAAGGTTGTCTTAGTAGAATAGTTAATCCAGCACAAAAATTGGAAACATGAGTCTTAATGGTGAGTGTAGGTGAACAATCTCAATATCACAGATCTATTGACTTGTTCTCATCCATAAAGAGCCTGATACAAACAAAATGTTCTGCCCCACAAACACGGGTGGATTGAAATCATCGCCCACACCATCAGTGCTTGCTGGTCAGTAACTCCACCCTCCCTCCTTTTGTGATGTTAGGCTCATTTACGATTATTTTTTGGATACATATCATACCTCACACAATGCTCTGTGTTTCACATCCTGTTGGAAAACACTATTTCTATAAGTACCATGTTACAAGCTTATCAGGCAGTTACAAATTATGAACTGTGGGTAAGGCTTCGATGCTATGTTTTTATTGACTATATAGTGAAGTGTAGGTTACGAATCAGAGTATAGGCATTAGGAAGGATATAGTGTAGAATATTTCTTTACCATAGTAGGCAGAAAAATGGAGATTTATATTAGTTACAGATAAGGTAAGATAACGAGTGGTGAAATAGTATTGATGGCAAGGCAACATAGTGTACAGATGAGTAAAAAACTGATAAATAGACAAGAAGTAACTCACACTAAATTCGCGCTGAGGTTGTTTTGTTCTATGCTAACCGGTTGATGGGTGGCAGTAGTCAGTCGATTGTGCGTTTCTTCTGGTGTTTTAGGGTATTCATAGGCGTCGTTTAGCGACCGAGTATTGATAGATCCAGTGAGTTGCCTGTCTACTTCAATTGAAAAGAATTAATGAGGGGAAAGTATCTAATACAACTACAAGGTAGGGAAATAAGGCGACTCAGTCTATATATGTAGAGAGCCTATGATGTCTGTGTGGGGCGTGGATGTGTTCGTTTGCACCAGATCTATGCTGGTGAGGGGTTGATTAATGAGTCTTGTAAACGTATGTAATTTGTCTGCCATGCGTACTTCAGAAGGCAGACTGTTCCATATCAATGCGTACTTGATAAGGAAGAAGTTTTCACGTGTTTTTGATATGTGTTTTTCAATTTTGACAGTGGATACTTTGTCTCGAAGGTTGTATCCATGTGAGTCTTGGTAGAGAGCTATATTACATGTGGAATAAGTAAGGTTTTTAAGGAGTTTAAAATAAAGAATTAAGTTAGACCTAAGCCTTCTTTTCCAGAGGGGTTCTAGTCCTAAGATATGGCATCTGGATTTGTAGTCAGTGAGTTGGTCATTCTTAAGTATTTTGCGAGTGAAGTCTCGCTGTATTCCTTCCACCTTAAGTATATCAGATAGGCGTAGGTTGGAAAATAAGAACGAGCAGTATTCGACGATGGGTCTTGCGCAGGTTTTATACAGGATGATTTTAGTTTCCTTTTGAAAGAAATTACGAAGGATGAAGCCAAGCAATCTCCGTGTTTGAGATGCTTTAGTTGAAATATGTTCAGAGAAGTTAAGACTGTCGGAGTAATGTACCCCAAGGTCAGTTACTGATGTCAGTCTGAGCAGTGGGTTTTTGTTAAGTGCTAGTTTTAATTTAATTGACGTGTTACCAATACATAGCCAACCGCATTTCTCTGTGTTGAGCTCTAGCCCCCAGCGTTTGCACCAGTCGTCTACTTTGTTGAGTTCATGTTGGATCGTTTGCATAGTACTTCGTACATCACCAACGTCAGTTTTATAGATGACTTTTAAGTCATCAGCGTAAAGGTAGGTCTTACCTGTAGTAAAGCACTTGCATATATTGTTGATATAAATTATAAAGAGCAATGGGCCCAAGACACTACCCTGCACAACACCACTGGTTATTGGTCGAGGTGTAGATGTTGTAGAGTTAAGCTTGGTTATTTGGTATCTGTTTGTGAGGAAAGACTTAATCCATTGCAATAGGGGGTTTATAATTCCAACTGACTGGAGTCTGTTGATTAGAAGATTATGGGGTACTTTGTCAAAGGCTTTCTTTATATCGAAATAAAGTATAATCACTAGCTTTTTCTGGTCACGTATGCGAGTAACCTCGTTAAAGAAGTCTATCAGACATGTACTACATGATCTTGTTCTAATGAAACCATGTTGTGTTGGGTCTATTAGTTCTTCCTTAAGTAGGTGATCTGATAGTTGACTTTGTATCACTTTTTCCATTATGCGCGAAATAACTGGGGTGATATTTATAGGTCTGTAGTTTCCGACCAGGTTTCTCGGTCCTGATTTGTGTTTGGGAAGAACATACGTTACCTTCCAGGCTTCAGGATATGTACCCGCCTCTAAAGATAGTGTGTATATTTTGAGCAATAACGTATGTATATCCGGCCCCGACATTTTATAGAGAATTGATGGTATATCATCAACACCAGAGCTCGCATTCGGCTTAAGGGTTTTGATGGCGGTATGTATACTCCTAATGTCAAAGTTTATGGTGCTAATATAGCTTTTGCTTATGCATTTTATGTTAAAATCTGGGGCATTAGATGTATTCCCGTTTTGTGAAAACCATTCACTTAGCAGTTCGCATATGACGGTTTGGTCATAGTACGTCACGCCATCGTGCAGTAAAGAGTGAATGTTGTGATCTTTGTTCTTTCTCATCCGTTTTTCAAGGAGCCGACATAAGTTTTGGACTTTAGATGCAGCTGTGAGCGCAGTACGTTCTTCTGTCTGTTTGTTTTTGTTGTGATGACTTTGCACTCCTTCAAGTACTGAGTATACCTGGTGCAGGGCACTAAAGTCTTTTGATGTAAAGTACGTCTTTCTTAGTTTTCGTAGCTTAGACTTAGCCTTTTGGTTGATGTAGGGAGCAATTGTTTTGAAAGCAATTTTAGAAGGGATGGTAGTGTCTAGTGCAGATTTGGTGGTAGTATTGAATATTTCCAGTGTTTCTAAAAGGTTATCACTGGTGAAGAAAGTGTTCCAGTCAGAATGCTTTATAAGAAACCGAAAGTTACTCCAGTCGGCGTTTGTATAGTCTCTATATTGGAAACACGTATTTAATGTCTTTAATTTTTTGCGCTTGGCAAGAATCGGAAGGGTGCAGAAGACTATTTTATGATCGCTATTATGGAACTTCTCGCCAACCACCATTGATGCTGGTGTGACATTGTGACAGAATATTAAATCAAGAATGTTGTGGTTTCGGGTAGGCAGGTTAACATGTTGCTGCCAACCGTGTATGTCTAAGGACCTTAGTATTCCTTCGTAGCACGGTGGGCCAGAATGTGTCTTCCAGTTGATGGTTGGAAGGTTGAAATCACCACAGACAATTTTGTAGGCGAAGTCAAGCGAGGCAGCCTTAGCAAATGACTCACTTATAATGGTGTCAGTCAGACTGGGGGTATTCGGAGCTCCATATATACATCCGATTAGTATTTTACATTCAAGGGTGTGTACAGTAAGCCACATCGAATCTGGTACTTTACTGAGGATATGATCACTAAAGATTTCCGTCCTCATGTTTTTTGATGCATATATGAGACAACCGCCACCCTTCTTGGTGACTCGGTCACAGCGGAAGAGCTCATACGTGTCTATTTGGAGGTACGTGTCTGTGATATCGGAGGACAACCAACTTTCCGTTATCAAAACAAGTGACGGGTTGTGTAAAAGTAGTTGAGTCATCTTATTCTGAATAGATCGGGCATTAATTAACATTAGTGTCAGGAAGGATGAGTGTTTGTCTAATAAAATGGTGTGCTGTAAACCCTGTGGTTTGTCGCTTTTACTATGAGAAGAGGAAAAAGTGGGAGTATTGGCTCTACGTTCTTGTTTGTTTAGTTTAATACCAGCATAGTTAACGGGAGAAAGGTGGTCGTAGGTTATTTTGGCGAAAGAAGTATGTTCACGAGTGTTGAGTAGAATCGGGTGAGTTAAATGGATAGGCGGTGTATTCGGGGGGTGATCATGTTCCGTCAAGGAGCTTTTAAGACGAGAGACAGTTATCGACGGTGATAAAGATGTGTCACTCCCCATCAGGTCGGAGTATATAGAAGGTGGTCTCAGAATAGTGGAATTGTCGCCCTCAACATTTGGAGACCCCATAGCAATACTGTTGAGGGGGAGAGAGATAAAAAAGGATGAGGTGGTGTGTGTGCCAAATTAGGGGAGATCAGAGAGTTATAAAAGGTGGTTTGGTTCTGGTAGTATTTAGAATCGATAGGTGGGTCCCCAAGCAGGCCAACATTATGGTTGTCTTGTGTGCAGTGGGGTGTTCTACTCCTGTTACGGGTAGTTAGGGGAGTTGTATGTTTCAAATAATTATTGCATGATTGTCTGACATTGTTGCCGGGGATGGTGTTCCTGTTGTGTGGGCTGTGCTGATTCCTGTAACCTGCATGTTTTAAGCTATATGGCTTATTGGCATCATGCGTAAGTGTGGTTTTTGTCGGGCGTAACCTCACGTTAGGATATGGGGGTACTGCCAGTTCATTATGCTTGTTGTAATGCATTCGACTACTATGAGTAGGTGCGTGTTGTGTATTGAGAGATCTGGAGTACTTATGGGTGTTTAGAGAGAATTTGGTATTATTTCGCATTACAGTGTTTGGGTGGTTATAGCTATTAGAGCGATCGATGTGAGGCTTGGGTTTTGGCTTTTCATCAGAGCCACAAGAAGAGTGTTTTGAAACTGTAGATGCATAGGTGGGTGGGCATTTTGTTGTAGTTGAGTGTTTGGGTTTAGGGTGAATGGTTACAGCTGCCTGGTGTCTAGTCTTGTTCTTAGGACTAGTAGCAGTATGCGGCGTGCCTCCGTTTTTGGGAGGGGTGGGGTATGGTGTTTTAGGGATAGCGCTATGGCCAACGTTGTAACTGCCGCTACCACTAAGGCTGGGTTGATTGTTTTGCACTTCATTGGAGTTTCGACGTTGGATGGCAGTCTTGTCATGGGTGATTCTAACTTTCTTAAAGGTTGGAATGCGCCTCAGTAAAGACTGGCTTTTAAGGAGGTGATTGGCTTCTATGATACTACCAAACTGAAATAGAATGAGACAAGAGGCTTTAGTCTGTGTTTTACGTAATCTTCTCGCTACACACCAAGATTGCGACAGTCCACATTCTTGTAGTAGAGTATTTTTAGCAAGCTTTAGATTCGTACTATCAGGTACATTATACGCAATGACATTGTGCATACACTGAAGTCTTTTCAGCACTTCAGCTGATATGTGGTCAATTATTTTTTTCAGTGTTTTTTATAATTTCGAGATCAGGATTTTCCGGAACACTGATTAGGTATTTATACGGTAATAGGTCTTGAATAGTTTGGGTGAGGCTAGATTTTATTTGACTGCTTTTAGAACTATCACTGGTGAGATTATTAGAGTCTATATCAACATTATTATGGTTCATTTGGTTGCATAAACATTTGTTGCAACTGTCTACCGGGTGGTCATCTTGTGCGTACTTAGTTGGGGGATAAGGTATATGTTTGGGTGAGTAGTCGAGATCTACATTATTAGGCTGGCTACTGTAAGTGGGCTTATGTGCACTCTGTTGGCCATTACACAGGATGACCGATTGTGGATTTATTGTGTGTATGGGGTCAACCGCACTGTCTAAATACCGCTCACAACGTGTAATGTGTGGGCTGTCAAATGATGTCGGGGTAGGCGGTAGGTGATTACTCTTATTTATATCTACAAGCGAGATGCAAGGTAGTGACAGGTCATGTCCAAGTACATGGTGCACGTCTAGTGTAGCTGAAGGAAGATCAGAGTATGATGCAGACTGATCAGTGTGTTTAGAAAGCTTCACATTATTCGCGTGAGTGGTGGATTTAGATCTTTTGCACGTGCTATGAGCATCAGGAGAGATTATGTGCTTTTTAGATGACCTGGACATTATTAGAAGTAATGTAAATATAAATTTTGTATTGGGTGAGCAGCGACTGCTGTATCTTTACTTACTAGATGTGTAAAGTTTTATGGTAGAGTCAGATCAATATTTGCTAATAGCTAATATATTAACGATAGTGAAAGAGGAAAGGTGGACAGCGTGTGAAATAGTGAGCTTAATGTACTACGTTGAATCACAGGATGGGGTGTCAAATTAATAGAGCCCTATCAGAAATGAAGTATTTTTTCACTAATAAATGTTGTTAAATTAGAAGGAAACACTAATAATAATAAAAAGTACAACCACGTGAAAAAAAGTTACAACCTTCAAAAGAAGCGCCTTCAAAACGCGGCATAACATTGATAATTCATATCATTGATAATTCTTTCAGTCAGTTAATAGTCAAATAGTTCGTCACTAATACTTTTTTCCATAATCCTAGAAATAACTGAAGTAATATTCATCGGCCGATAATTGCTCATGTCAGTCTTATCTCCATATTTGTAGTGTTGTATGATGTACGCGGTTTTTGACAACAGTATGGATAACAACCTGGTTCTATGGAGAGAGTAAACAGCCTCATAAGAGGAAGTGAAATATCTGAACCACCGTAGTTGTAGAGAAATGATGGATTACGATCTGTTCTTTGACTTCTCATAAAAACCTTAATGGTTTTATTAGCCTTACTTATATTCAGGCATGTGAAGAAGACAGATTTTTATTTAGTTAGTTTTCACGCATATAACTCATGAAACCACCTTTTGTAAATTATTTACCACTAGCAAAAAATACCACTGAAGAGGTCTGCAACAGTTTTGGAGTCGTTTATAAAAGTGCTTTTATGCAGCTTATATAGTATATCAATATTTAAAGTTGATTTAGCGCGTTTATTGAAAAGAAGAATTAGGTTTTGTACTTCTGAGCAAGTAATAATTGCTAATCGCCCCTCAATAATGACTTTTAAACTATGTTTCTCTTTCAATTGGGTAAAATTATTTTTACTTGTCTAACTGACGTGAAGTTTTTGGACTTAAAATAACGTTCCTGTAGCCGTCTTAGTTTAATAGGAAAGTTAGCTGGTACATATGATTCGTAAAGTTTATTAAACCTGTATGTTTCCATTGGTGCACAGGAATCTGGAAAAGAGTTAACGGTCAAATAGAGTTCATCGATGGCATTCATGGGACTATTACATCAGAAAAATTCTTCTCAGTCTGAGAGTTTGATCAATGAGCGCAAAAGGTCTCAGTCAGCATGCTTATAGTGTCTATATTCTTAGTCTTTTTGAATTGATCGGTTATGAGGGGGATAGATACGGGGGAACAAACTACTATCTTGAGGTCATTGCTTTCAGATTCATTGTATACGTGTACAAATAATGAGAGGATATCGCTGCTATATTAAATGAAGTATATAATCACCCGTTTATGGGTTATGAACTCTTTGTGACCAGCGATGCAGGTTAAGGATTTCCGAAGATATATCATTACTTGACCGACAACTACCGGTTCTCCAGTTAATCACAGAATGATTGAAACCTCCAAAGATAAACAAAAAAAATGAAGTTGTGAGCAGATGCATTTATGAATGCGTTGATAATAAGATCATTCACATTATCCGAACTATCAGTATCTCCGTTTATATATATCTCACAAGTAGATTATAATTCAGACTGTTGATTGATGTCCAATTATTCAAATCACTGTCTTCAACTTTGTTAGTTGTGAGGGTATCCAAAGCATATATAAGACAACCGACTTTTCGCTTAGTTTCTCTGTCACGACCATGGAGTCGATAATTCTGGATATTTAATTCTAATTCAGATACTGCACGACAGCTACATGTCTCAGTGCTACGTGTGAGAAAAGGCTTGGTTAGAAATGTTGAGGCTCCCATGGCTGAAATTTCGTTCCGAAGTGAACATGCATTAATAAGTAACAAGTTTAAAACGACAGTATAGAGTGTGAAAAACAAAGAGCTTCCCTATCGTTGGTATGTGTTCTAGATATGCCTGGACTATGGTTCAATGTGTTTGACTGATCATGTGAGCTATGGCTTGATTAAACTGTCATGCTTGTGTGATCATGCATTTCTGAAGGCCAAAAAATATTATTTTCATTAGGGGAACAATTTGTTGAACTTGGCTTGGTGGTAGTTAAGACAGGCACCTGCTAGTTGAGGTTGAGTTGATGGTGCCTAACCTAGTATTCCATTTTGCCCATTGGGAAAGTTATGAGGAGAGCGACTTCCTACAGGTTTAATTTTTGAAACATTGCCGTGATATATGCCATACATAAACTACGTATCCATTACTTAACCAGCAAACACAAAAACAATATCATATTTCATGTTTGTTCTCTACATTAAATATTGCTATTTATATCACTCTGATCATGTCAGTAAACTGATGTGAATTGTGTAATTTTTATTTTCAGAATATATTATTATTGTTATTATTAGGGGAATCACGTGGCACGTTGGTTCGCTGCAATCTGTCTAGTATAAGGCCTGCTCACACAATCGTTGTAGTAGGCGTCTTGTGCGACGTTTGAACCAAGTGTGCTTTTTTACTTCCCCACGATGAATAAGCTGAAGCATGGTTTTGAAAATGATATATCTGTTTGATAGGGCCATTGTGATATATTTGGTATTTGGTCTAGAACCAGAAACTTTTGTTTTTACTTTCTTCGTACCTAGTAAAGAAGTTTAGTTTTAACAGTGTTTTGAAGAGCCTTCATATTAGAACTACATGTTTGGTGATGGGCTTCTGAGGTTTCACTGGAAAATATCGAATTAGTGTCTCCATTACGCTGATTACCTGAGGTCACTACGTACATGAGAGGCAGACCAGCACTCTTCACTGGTAAATCGGTTTACTAGCTGACATGAGTTAGTTAAGCTGCACTAGTAGGTTCAGTTGCTGAGGCAACGGGATTTGTTGTTATCTTAAAGAAATTTATTTTCGTTTAAGGCACGCTTCTGTGTAAGACTTCGGTTAGTGGCTTTACCTTGAACTATTGAAACGTTTCCAAACTTTGCAAGCGCGCAGATTAGTCGTTCGGATTCTTTCAACTGCTCAGCTAATAAGTTGGAATCGAATCTAAAGAAGATAGAGCACGAGTATTTCTAATGCTTTTTAATAAGTCAAATAGATTGGCGTGGATTTTCTTGCAGGTTGGCTTAATTTAATATCAAATTCCTCACCGATATGAAGGCGTTTTTGTCAAGAATGATATAGATAATAACGTTACTTCCAGAAATTAATCGTTTGGTAACTTTACTAGAAATGAAATCGATAACGCATTCTACATTGATACTGCCTTCAAGTTCCGCAGGAACTACATCCTTTGACAATAGCGGTTAAGGAGTGACGGTGTTTTTAGTTCTTGCTTAAGATTATCACTCTTTAATAAAGAGCCCGTAAGTGACTCCACTTTAAAACACATATTGCCTAATCGCTGATGGATAGTATATTATTCACTCTTAGTATTGTCGATACCTTAAGATCTTGAGGTAGAACTAGTTATTAAATTAGACACCGAGTCATCCAGCAGCAGGTGTGGTATACGTCCGCTTCCAACATTGTCTCATTCAAAAGGAATTACAGAACATGACGCACAGGTAATAACAGAATTGTTATTATTTGAAGAATAATGGCTTTTCCGTGCCCCCTTTCTTGTCAGTAAACTCATTTCACTTGAAGGGCTAATTCTAATGTTAGTCATGAGTTATAAATAAGGATTCAAAGATTTAAACACTTTATGAAAGATACCTTGCAAGCGTACCGCACACAAATGTTTGTGATAATGTGCGTGCAATTGAAATAGTGATATTACCAATTCACAACAATGATTATTATTAAGATAATAATCCAAGGAGAGATAAGTGTGTTGGATTTTCAAAACTAGATTATATCGTCGAAAATTGTTTCGTCCTGATAACCGTTACTAGTTACACTTCAATGGTGTATAAATCAGAAGGCGAATACGAAGAGTGGATTACGATAAATATTGCATCACACACAGAACACCGAAATTACAGGTAAGTTTAGCAAGCATGAAGGAGTTGTGAATAAAATCAAGCGAGCAAGCGAGTGATCATGACAGTCAAATAAGCTTACGAGATAGTTATCGAACAGGACTATATAGCACATAAATATACACCAGAAAATAAATGAATCATAAATCAAGAGACTAGCAGTGAGTAATATAAGGGATCGCAGAACAAACATACGAGTAGACAGTAAATAATATTCAGGGCCAACATATTCATACAAGCGCAAATCAAGAAAGGAACATTGACACCAATAACTTGTTATTGCACGAGTGACTCCACTCGTTAAAAAAGTCAACAAAAGGGCTGAACCAAATGAAACGTGAACAATCTCAAATGTACATGGACTGCAATACCGTTTTAGAATAAAGTTTACAGAAGTCTAAATCATTTCTTCATAACAGGTGTTTGTTTTGTGTATGCAGCAGGTGAATACGGGATCATCCAGGTCACCTTAATTAGATGATTCTGTCTGACACCCACTGGAGGACGTGTATCAGATAATGACAATATAATCGCTCATATAATAACTGACGCTTAGATGATATCTTACCCCTTCACACTAAAGTTTCTAAAGTGTGGGTGCTCACACAGACTTTGTGACCATGTTATGGTGTTGCTGCTAACAACATGATTCTCGAAGCTAAGAATAAGATGACTGAGAAAATTTACATGACAAGTTTACCACGAAGAGAAGATAAGTAACAGTGAACGCTGGAAGAAGGAATGGATATACCATGACTTGGTCATGGAGGCGTGGTCAACCCTCATAACTTCTTGTTTTTCGTATCAAATATATTATTCTGTCGTCAATTCGAACGTGTCCTTCTGGAGTGCTAGGTTTCATAATGCTGATTGTCATGATACGACGAGTCAGAGTACAATGAGATGAGATCTCCACGTTATATCTTATAGGTTATATAGTCACATCGTGACAAATCTACAATTTAGCG